ATTATTATAAAACCAGCGGATAAAGGATGCGCAATCGTTATATTAAACCGAGATGCTTCTCAATTGTCGAGAAGCATCTCATGATCAAACATTACAAAAAACTACAATACAACCCTATGGACATGCTTCACCATAGAGTCCAGCCTAAGTGCTGGGAACTCAAAAACAAAGGAAAAATAGACTCAAAAACATAGGCGTTCCTGAAACAGAAACGGGAAGAACAGAGGACTCCAACCATATATATGTTGCCGATAATACCCGAACAAACGCAAAAGGATGAGAAAGTTGGGAAGATCCACAACCTCGGCCTATGGTGGACCCTGTGAAAAAATAAGTGAGCTTGCGGAGTATCTTCTCCTACCTATTGTCAAAAATCAAAAACATATATGAGAGACAGTCATGAACTGCTAAACATATTGAAAACACTGAAATTGAGCCCAAACGTCCTCCTAGTATCAATGGATAATGTATCAATGTATACAAACATCCCATTAAGAGAAGCAATTGACGTAAATCCGAAGGCCTATGAGACCAGTGTATTCAAGTAAAAATCAAAAATTGAAAAATCAATACGCTGGACTTCGGAGAAATCTTAGAGCTGATACTTGAAAACAACTTCCTGAAATTTAATGGAACGTTCTATAAGGAGGAGATCGGATTAACACAGGGTTCGGGATGCTCACCGGAGATTGCTGATATTTACCTTCACTCATTGGAGAGAAATTTTGTAGACCAAATTCCCAAACGGAGTATGTATCGGAGATACAAAGTTGACATTTTATCCTGAGCGGAGCAGAAGAGAAAGATCTCAAAAGCTTCCGGAGAAAATCAACAAAATACACGAGTCTCCAAATTTCACACTTGAAATCAGCAATCATGAGCTAAATCTTCTTGATCTCACAATATATAGAGGGAAAAACTTCCGTAAGAACGGAGTGTTGGACACCATAACTTACTTCAAACCTACTGAAACTTTCCAGTATATTCAGGCCTCAAGCTCGCACCCCTCATTTTGTTCGAAAGGTTGTTGAAGGGCGAAATATTAAGGCACAAACGGAACTGCAACAATGTCCCGAATGTTATGAAAACTACCCTAATTTTCTATAAATACCTGAGACAAAGAGGCTACTGCAAAGCGCTGGTTTGGAACAACTGAAGGAGGCTCTGAGCGGAAAAACCAAATCAGAAAGGTAAAAACAACGCAACCTGTTCTTTAAAAACAAAATATAACCCGCAAACATCAATAAGTGACTTGAGGCGAGCTCTGTGTGAACCTTGGCATCAGATCGATGGAAAAAAGATCCTCAATCACTTTTCCCGACACCGCCAATGTTCTCCTATAAACGACATAAGAACCTGCATGAGTTCCTGGTTAGGTCGAAACTTGGAAAATGAATCACAAAAAACGAAGATCTAGATATCTTAATTAATCTCCTTTGAGCATAAAATAACAATAACTAAATAAAAAAGTATCTAAAAATCAAAAGGGCCTGAGGAGTAATGAAATGGCGCCATCGTCCTTGAAGATCTAACTACATAAATAATGAGAATGAAAAATAAACATTTAAAAAGGAGGTGTTTTGATGCTACTCGGATTGCGAAACAAAAACTACCATGCATAAAAACCGAAGATATCTGAGGTTCGTGGTATACAAGTGAAATGCATTTGAGTAGCACAAAACAAACGGATAAATAAATAAAAAAACGCACCCATATTAATAACAAATTCATTAAGTTTACTTTGGCATGGGAATACCTAAAATAACATTCGGGGAGAAAGGCAGCCGGTCTCTTGGGGCTTCATGCTTTACAAACATCCAGGGCAGTGGTGGTCTTCGGCAGTCGACCCGCTGTTTCGACACGAGACAGATACGGACGGCTCGGTGGCGTACGTTAAAATCACTGCAAGGCTCCGGCGCGCTCCGTCCGGGTGGTGAAAATTTTTTTCGCGTGTTGGCAGACGACGCTGGGCCATACGACGCCAGGCTTATTTTCCTGTGGGCTGATTGATCTAATTCAATAGATGTGATCTGTCTGGTGGATTGCGGCTGATAATGTTACAGTCAAGAAGAGTTGTAGGCTACGTTTTTCAGGGAAGGGATCATGATAGTCCATTCGAAGCAAGGCAGTGATGGTCTCCGACAGGTGTCTCAAATTTTAGACGAATGAACGCCTAGGTCTGCTTGAAGTGGTTGAATTCTATCTCATTTCGTTCTCGATTGGAATCATGGGATGCACAATATGTGTCCAATACTATGTAAAATATGAGATAAGACTGAACGGAGGTTTTGATTCCGGTCAATCCGTAAACTGCTAGATATTAGAATAAAAAAATAAAGTTTGATACCATAATTACCCGCGCATCATTTATTAACAGTAAAACATTTTACGTTTAGCTTTCAAAATTTCAGTGAAAGATGACTTCTTTTCATCAGACATTTATGTGTTAAGTTAAATGAAAGCCATATTTTGGAACAAAGTCTCAGACAACGCTTCTCTCCAACAATGATGGAGTCATGGTTCCGTTCAGCACCTCTTCGCCTGCCCCGCCTTCCCCACGTCTCCTCACTGTGGGACAACCCCGTGGAGGCAGCTGCTTTCCTGGCCACCCTCCCTGCCTTCGCCCATCTCCCCCCTCTTCCGGTGCCGGCCCCACCTCCCCCGGCGAGCGTGATGGTCGCATCAAACAACAACAACAAAGTCTCAGTAGAGTTTTCAAAAAAATAATTTTTAGATTGAATTTGGTACATCAAAACTTAAACTGACAATATTATCAATCTCGAACGACTCAATCAATCTCGAAAATATCTATAACTATATCTATAATTACGCCAATTGACAACGCTTCTCTCTAACAATGATGGAGTCATTGTTGAACTCAACCATAGAAGAAGTAGGGTCAAGATGAGCCTATGATTAAGTATAAAACTTGAATCATATAATGTAGGTTAGAGAGGGAAGACAGAGCCAGTTTTCTTCGTGTATTTTCACTAAGATGATAGCACGAATATATTCCGAATCCGAACATGACCACAGATTTCCTGTAAGAAATCTCTTTTATTTTATTAGTTACGTGCTATATTTTACAATACCTAAAGAAATGAAACTAGGCATAAGAAATAGTCTGCAAAATTATGTCACAAAATTTTATTCATAACTGATATGAGCTCACTGAAGCATGTCAAAAAAAAAAAAAATCTCTTCCCCAGTGTGGCTCCAAGAACCTGCTCCACTGAGAAGGCTCGTTTTTTTGGGACTATCCCTTGGAAATTTATTCTTTCGGTAGCCTTTGCAACGCCTCCATCTTTCTGTTTATCGCCTTTCCATCAATAATTTCTCAAATTTTTATATTTTAATCTAGCTCGCCAAGCACAGCTCCGAAAATTGTCATATTAATCGTGGCGGGCGTGCTTAGAAATGAGCATTCAATGTCGTCATCCAAGCTTAGTCTGAAACGTTTCCGACATTGTTTTTGTTCAGGCTCTTTTGTTGCTGAAGGTTCCACCTATGAACTGGCTCATGCAAGTTGCATTAAATTTTTTAACTTCTTTCTTGGCAACTTCAAACACGCAAAGCGCAGTTTAAGTCAATACACCCAACAAGTATTACTAAAAACTCACAAATCTCAGCACATTAGTCGAACAATAATCACCGTGATAGAGTTTGTACACAACCAACTGAAGGTTCCTTTGATGGTACATATGAACTGCAGCTCTAGATGGAGGCATCACAACTAACGTTCAGGAGTAAAACTACTTTGAGTTTCCGCCATGAAGATTTTATTGGAAGATATCAGTAGAAAATTTCATATTAAATCTTAAATTTACGCATTTAAACTATGACATGAATTAGAAATAACATTTTATATTGCAGGTCAAAGTAAGAAAAGATCTTCGATTGAGCGCTTAGATCAGACTAGAGGGCACTTGACGGGATGGAGGCACTCGTTATCAGGAGAGGACTTTGGGCCGTGAAAGCGTGCTTTCACTTTAAATTATAGAACTGCATATGTATGAACAAAATCAACAATCGCATCTAAAGCTCATTTGCTCTCGTCACACCGGAGTAATCCCACGAAGAAATACACTTGACTTGGATTATAACCAATTCCATGTCCGGAAGGCACCCAAACACTATCTTGAGCTCAAGGATTTAATATAAATCATTTTAGGCGTATTTTTCACCAAGTCTGTGACGCTGTCCTGCTGTTGTCACAACGCATTACTTAACGAATTCAAGGGAAAGTATTGGGCGAAATCATGTACTTCCGCCGAGTCTTGCTAATTCAGGGTAACGCGATTGAAAGAAGACGATGTCAAATGAGCTAAAATAAAAAGACATCACTCAATGACGCGGGTAAAACCATCATCAGAGCCATACGGTGTTGAAGAAAATACATGAATAAACGATAACAAATAGAATACAATTGAATAAATTTGGGCATAAAATCGAAATCAAATTGCGATTCCGGCATACAAAATGTAGAAGTTTTGGTGAACTTCTAATTAATGTTTTACTTACTGAAACTTTTTTTTGGGGCAGAGTGTATCTCAATTGCACGGGTGTAACAATCAACAGGTACGATATTCCGTATCTGTGACTAGTTCAAAATCTCAAGATGAAACATAAACTCACTAATGACAAAAAAATATACTAAATTTAAGAGGTACCAGATATTCGTAGACGAACCCTAAGGTTCGAAATAAAAGAAAAAATTCTCATTGTAAGTGCACTTAATATACATTTGACTTTCGGCGGGGCCCAGTTGCCGCCCTCACAAGCCCCTCACTCACAGGTTGGCACTGCTTTAATATTAGGTACGGTAGGTATTCATCTTCAGTCAATATCAACATTTTCATCATAAACTTGAGAGAGCAAAATACAAAAGATGCCGCAGCTCTGGTGCTGCAGCGGAAATTATGTAACACTATCAGACGAGAACTTAGTCTGCCACGACTAAAAAGGTGGTCTTCTATTGATTGTTCTCATGATCATTGCCTTCAGTTATGTATCACGCGGGACCTCCAGTTCTGCAGCACGCGGGTCCTCCAGTTCTGCAGCACGCGGGACCTCCAGTTCTGCAGCACGCGGGACCTCCAGTTCTGCAGCACGCGGGACCTCCAGTTCTGCAGCACGCGGGACCTCCAGTTCTGCAGCACGCGGGACCTCCAGTTCTGCAGCACGCGGGACCTCCAGTTCTGCAGCACGCGGGACCTCCAGTTCTGCAGCACGCGGGACCTCCAGTTCTGCAGCACGCGGGACCTCCAGTTCTGCAGCACGCGGGACCTCCAGTTCTGCAGCACGCGGGACCTCCAGTTCTGCAGCACGCGGGACCTCCAGTTCTGCAGCACGCGGGACCTCCAGTTCTGCAGCACGCGGGACCTCCAGTTCTGCAGCACGCGGGACCTCCAGTTCTGCAGCACGCGGGACCTCCAGTTCTGCAGCACGCGGGACCTCCAGTTCTGCAGCACGCGGGACCTCCAGTTCTGCAGCACGCGGGACCTCCAGTTCTGCAGCACGCGGGACCTCCAGTTCTGCAGCACGCGGGACCTCCAGTTCTGCAGCACGCGGGACCTCCAGTTCTGCAGCACGCGGGACCTCCAGTTCTGCAGCACGCGGGACCTCCAGTTCTGCAGCACGCGGGACCTCCAGTTCTGCAGCACGCGGGACCTCCAGTTCTGCAGCACGCGGGACCTCCAGTTCTGCAGCACGCGGGACCTCCAGTTCTGCAGCACGCGGGACCTCCAGTTCTGCAGCACGCGGGACCTCCAGTTCTGCAGCACGCGGGACCTCCAGTTCTGCAGCACGCGGGACCTCCAGTTCTGCAGCACGCGGGACCTCCAGTTCTGCAGCACGCGGGACCTCCAGTTCTGCAGCACGCGGGACCTCCAGTTCTGCAGCACGCGGGACCTCCAGTTCTGCAGCACGCGGGACCTCCAGTTCTGCAGCACGCGGGACCTCCAGTTCTGCAGCACGCGGGACCTCCAGTTCTGCAGCACGCGGGACCTCCAGTTCTGNTATCTGTTGCATATAACACAATTATCTGTTGCATATAACACAATTATCTGTTGCATACAACACAATTATCTGTTGCATATAACCCAATTATCTATTGCATACAACACAATTATCTGTTGCATGTAACACAATTATCTGTTTCTAGGAATCCACAGTAACTCTTCACCATTTATTGCGTTATTTGCACGAAATCATAGTGAGTAAATAAAGGATAACAGCTCGGCATGAGCACTGGAGGCGAGGGCACTAAAGGCGAGATTATTATACAACAAGAACATGTGTGATGTGTGGTGTGGTGCAGTAGACGTGGCAAC